AAGTCCAGGAGGCAGAGGTTGTAGTGAGTCAAAATCGCGCCATTGCACCACTTCAGCTTGGGCAGAACAAGACTCTGTCTCAGGGGAAAAAAATTTTTTTTAGATTTTATTTTTTGAGACAGAGTCTGACTCTTGCCCAGGCTGGAGTGCAATGGCACAATCTTGGCTCAAGGCAAATGCCACTTCCCGGATTAAAGCAATTCTCCTGCCTCAGTATCCTCTGTAGCTGGGATTACAGACATGTACTACCACACCCATCTAATTTTTATTCTTTATTTTATTTATTTATTTTTGGGACGGAGTCTCATTCTGTCACCAGACTGGAGTGCAGTAGCACGATCTCAGCTTACTGCAACCTCCAACTCCCTGGTTAAAGTGACTCTCCTGCCTCAGCCTCCCAAGTAGCTGGGATTACAGGCAAGAGCCACCATGCCCTGCTAATTTTTAAAAATATTTTTAGTAGAGACAGGGTTTCACCATGTTGGCCAGGATGGTCTCGATCTCCTGACCTTGTGATCCAACCGCCTTGGCCTCCCAAATTGCAGGTATTAGAAGTGTAAGCCACCTCACTCAGCCTAATTTTCATACGTTTAGTAGAGATGGGCTTTCGCCATGTTGGCCAGGCTGGTCTCCAACTCCTGGCCTCAAGTGATCCACCTGCCTCAGCCTTCCTTCTGTACTAGGATTACAGTTGTGAGCCACCAGGCCTTGCCACAGGTTATTCAATAAAAGTTTTATTTTCAAATGTATATAAGAAAACATAGAAAAATTATTTTATTTTTTTATTATTTTTTTGAGACAGAGTTTTGCTCTTGTTACCCAGGCTGGAGTGCAATGGCGCAATCTCGGCTCACCGCAACCTCCACCTCCTGGGTTCAGGCAATTCTCCTGCCTCAGCCTCCCAAGTAGCTGGGATTACAGGCATGCACCACCATGCCCAGCTAATTTTTTGTATTTTTAGTAGAGACGGGGTTTCAGCATGTTGACCAGGATGGTCTCGATCTCTTGACCTCACGATCCACGCGCTTCGGCTTCCCAAAGTGCTGGGATTACAGGCGTGAGCCACCGCACCTGGCTCAGAAAAATTATTTTAGAATCTCAGAGTCGGCAACACCCTCCTTGAGTATGACATCTTATCTCAGAAACCATAAAACAAAAGGTTGGCCAGGCATGGTGGCTCATGCCTGTAATCCTAGCACTTTGGGAGGCTGAGGTGGGTGGATCATTTGAGGTCAGGAGTTCAAGACCATCCTTGACAACATGGTGAAACACAAAAAAATTAGCTGGGCATGGTGGTGGGCCCCTGTAATCCCAATCACTTGGAAGGCTGAGACAGAAGAATCACTTGAACCCAGGAAGTGGAGGTTGCTGTGAGCTGAGGTGGTGCCAATGCACTCCAGCCTGGGTGACAGAGCAAGACTCTGTCTCTAAAATAAAAAAAAAGAAAGAAAGAAAGGAAAAAAGGGTTGGCTGGGTGCGGTGGTTCATGCCTGTAATCGTAGCACTTTGGGAGGCTGAGGCAGGTGGATCACCTGAGGTCAGGAGTTTGAGACCAGCCGGTCCAACATGATGAAACACTGTCTCTACTAAAAATACAAAAGAAATTAGCTGGGCATGGTGGCGGGTGCCTGTAATCCCAGCTACTTGGGAGGCTGAGGCAGAATTGCTTGAACCTGGGTGGCAGAGGCTGCAGTGAGCAGAGATCGCACCACTACATTCTAGCCTGGGCAACAGAGTGAGACTCCATCTCAAAAGTAAAATAAAGGGTTAATGCAGGGGGGTCCCCAACCCCCAGGCTGGTACAGTTGGTGGCCTCTTAGGAACCAGGCAGCACAGCAGGAGGTGAGCTCACAAGGCTTTTTCTGTATTTATAACAGCTCCCCATTGCTCACATTACTGCCTCCGCTTCCTTTCATATTAGGCGCAGCATTAGATTCTCAAAGGAGCTTGAACTCTACTGTAAACTGCACATTCAAGGGATGTAGGTTGTGTGCTCCTTATGAGAATCTAAAGCCTGATAATCTGTCACCCCAGATTGGACCATCTAGTTGCAGGAAAACAAACTCAAGATTCCCACTGATTCTGTATTATGGTGAGTTGTAAAATTATTTCATTATATATCACAATGTAATACTAACAGAAATAAAATGCACAATAAATGTAATGTGCTTGAATCATCCTGAAATGATCCTGCCCCAAAACCCCTGTTGATGGAAAAACTGACATCTATGATACCAGTACCTGGTGCCACAAAGGTCGGGGACCACTGATTGCACTACTAAAAATACTTTTTGCACAGTAAGAAGAAACAATAACCCAAGTTAAGAGAAAAAAGGGCCTAGAATATTAACATGCACACCCTAGAATGGGAAATACAAATAGCTTCCAAAACCCTAAAATATGTTCAACTTCACTTATAATGAGAAAAATGAGCTGGACGCGGTGGCTCATGGCTGTAATCCCAGCACTTTGGGAGGCTGAGGAGGGTGGATCACGAGGTTAAGAGATTGAGACCATCCTGGTTAACATGGTGAAACCCCCTCTCTACTACAAAATACAAAAAATTAGCTGGGCATAGTGGCGCGTGCCTGTAATCCCAGCTACTCAGGAGGCTGAGGCAGGAGAACTGCCTAAACCCAGGAGGCGGAGGTTGCAGTGAGCCGAGATCGCGCCATTGCACTCCAGCCTGGGTAACAAGAGTGAAACTCCGTCAAAAAAAAAAAAAAAAAAAAATAATAATAATGAGAAAAATGAAGTATACAAATTGGAAAAGACCAAAAAGTATGGTAACAATTAGTAAAAGTGGAAGGAAAGAGGCACATTCATACAATACTAAAGTATAAACTGGTACAACTTCTGTAGAGAGCAACTGTCCAAGTTAAAAATACATACCTCCTTTAAAAAAATGTATGAGTCTTAGCAGTGGAAACAAAAAAAATACACATATCCTTTGGCAAAGCCATTTAACATTGAGAACTTGATTGTACAGCTACATTTGCACATGTACAAAACAATGGATGTAGAAGTGTATTCAATGCTGTACTGTTTCTAACACTAAAAGAGTAGAAATAGCCTAAATGTCCATCAAATGAAAAGGTTAAAGACTGGAACATTGGCTGGGCACGGTGGCTCACGCCTATAATCCCAGCACTTTGGGAGGCCGAGGAGGGTGGATCAGAGGTCCAGAGATCGAGACCATCCTGGTCAACAAGGTGAAACCCGTCTCTACTAAAAATACAAAAATTAGCTGGGCATGGTGGGGTGCGCCTGTAGTCCCAGCTACTCGGGAGGCTGAGGCAGAACTGCCTGAACCCAGGAGGCGGAAGTTGAGGTGAGCCGAGATCGCACCATTGCACTCCAGCCTGGGTAACAAGAGCGAAACTCTGTCTCAAAAAAAAAAAAGAAAAAGAAAAAAAAAAGGCTAGAACATCTAGGTATGTACATGTAAAAAAAGGTAACGATGACTGCTCTACAGAAGAGGACTAGGTGGTTAGAGATCCGGGCTGCTAGAGTTACTTTTCACTGCATATGTTATACTTTTTGAATGTCAAATCAATATATATGATCTATTAAGAATAGTTTTTTTTTTTTTTTGAGACTGAGTCTCCCTCTGTGGCCCAGGCTGGAGTGCAGTGGCACGATCTTGGCTCACTGCAACTTCCGCCTCCTGAGTTCAAGCAATTCTCCTGTCTCAGCCTATCTAGTAGCTGGGATTACCGGCGCCCACTACCACGCCCGGCTAATTTTTGTATTTAGGATGGTCTCGAACTCCTGACCTCAGGTGATCCACCCGCCTTGGCCTCCCAAAGTGCTGGGTTTACAGGCGTGCGAAAGGAGATATGCTAGGGAGGTTTGCCAGGTCCAGAAAGCACAGAACCTAGAATGCTATGGTAAATAAGTAGATTTTACAGAGAGGAAGATGAGAAATTAAAGTTTTTAAGCAGATAAGTCAGATTTGCGCTCCACAAACCACCGTCAACTTTAGGGATAATGATAGTTTAACATTTAATACTTTTTTTTTTTTTTTTGAGACAGAGTCTCACTCTGTCCCCAGGTACCAGGCTGGAGTGCAGTGGCACAATCTCGGCTCACTGTAACCTCCGCCTCCAAGGTCAGCTGCCCAAGTAGCTGGGACTACAGGCGTACGCCACTACGCCCAGCTAATTTTTATATTTTTAGTAGAGACGGGGTTTCACCATGTTCGCCAGGATGGTCTGGATCTCTTGACCTCGTGATCCGCCCACCTCCGCCTCCCAAAATGCTGGGATTACAGGCTTCAATCACCGCGCCCGGCCTAGATTTTTTTTTTTTTTTTTTGAGACGTTGTTCACTCTTGTTGCCCAAGCTGGAGTGCAATGGTGTGATCTCGGCTCACGGTGTGTGAGCCACCGCGCGGCCTAAAACAATAATTTTAAAAAATAATTGTCGGCCGGGCGCGGTGGCTCACGCCTGTAATCCAGGCACTTTGGAGGCCAAGGCGGACAGATCACCTGAGGTCGGGAGTTCAAGACCAGCCTGACCAACATGGTGAAACCCCGTCTTTAAAAAAAAATAGTCATAAATAAATGTCAAAACCAGGTCTTTTTACTAATATGATCGAGGTGAAACGTCAAGTTAGATATCCCCTAATTAGCTTTCTGAGTCCTCTAACCTGGCACACTCTATCTCACTGTTGGGAGATACATGGGGGCAACGACCTTTCAAACGCCGGAAAATATAATTATCTTTAGAAATCACCAAGATAAATGTGATCAGGCACATGTGGAACAGGTTCAAGAGACTGTAAATGTGGGAGGCCAGGTTTCGCGACTATTAAATAAGGTGGCTTTTTACTGCAGCATCTCCAAGACAAGTACGAACGAGACTACAGAACGGGGCACAATGGGATTATGCTCGAGGCACCCATGGGGCAAAGTAGAAGCAGCAGCAGGAAGCCGCGGGTAAGAAGAAGGGATGCCTGTGTGCCCACGTCTGAAGATAGAAGTAAGCCACCTACTCACACTCGTACTTCCTATTGACTGGCGGATACTTGGCCTTGATCGCCTTCTGTTCCTCAGTCAAATTGTAATCTCTAACATCTTCCTCTTCCTGCGCCATGACTCCCAGGATTAGACACTCTTACTTCCGCCCTTCATCTGCCGGACTTCGACCCGCATTTACTACTTCCGCTCTAGACTCCGCCCCTTGGCAGACACCCTTAAAGGGCTACACACCGTTCTCAGAGTTGGCTGCTGACCTACTTTAGTCCCTACCCTGCCGCATGGATGACACGTTTAAAAGGCCAAAACCCCATCTTCTGCGCTTCCTTCATTACTAGTTCCTTCTAAACACTAAGGAAAAACGTCTGAAGGGCACCTTGAATGAAACCCTTCCGGGTCTGAGTGGCGAGGTTCTTTTCTCTCTCTCACTTCCAAAATTGATCATTAGACCCGAAGGCATTCTAGATTTTTCATCTCAGTACTTTGAAAGGGTCATAAACTCAACAGCCTTCAAGAAAATGGCTGCCCTCGGGCCGCGAGAATGTGTAGACTAAACCTCTCACGTGATCCTGGCCGGGAGCAGTCCCGTCAACCCCGGCGCTCGCAGTCGCTGGAAGTCGGCTCTGGGAGGCGTGGGGGGAGGGGCGGAGAGCGCGCCTCGGTCCCGCGGTAAGCTACTCCGCACATTTGGATAGGTCGCGAACACGGCTTCCCCGCCCACCTGGCCGTTAGGAGCACTCCGATTGGCTGATGTTGGCGCGAAGGTGCGCGAGTCGGCCCTCACGCAGGGGGCGCAGGAAACAATAGAGGCCCCGCGCGTAGAGCGAGCGCTTGCTGCCTCCCCTCCCCTCCCGCAACGCTCGACCCCAGGATTCCCCCGGCTCGCTGGCTCGCCATGGCCGACAAGGAAGGTGAGGGTACTGGGACCGCCCGAGGAGGACACGGGGAGCCGGGACTGCGCCGCGGCCTCGATACGGCCTAACAGTGAGGGCAGGCCCGAGTTTGCCGAGTGCAGTCTCCGGTACCGAAGGCGTGAGGAGAGAACTCCCCTCGGAGCGGGCTAACGGCGCGCCGGTTCCCTGGGACCGACGTCTGTCGTCGCTGGCGAAGCAGGCGGTGGGGTCCCCGGCGGGGTGTGTGTTACTTCTCCCGCCCCCGAAGTCGGTCTGTCCCGATCCTCGGGTCCCCGCTTCCTACCTTCAAGGCTCGGAGCTCCGGCCTCCTCATCGGGCTTGCGAGTTTCTGCGCGCGCGAGCGTGCTCCGAGGGCCTGGCGCCGTGGCCTGGAACGGGTAACGGAGTGTCTGGCGGGCATGGCGCGAGGAGTTCCGGCGCCGCGAAGGTGGAGTGTGGGTGCCCCCGCCGTAGGGATTTAGACAAATCCCCTCCATTTCAGAGTCAGGATGTAGGAGTCATACCGGTAGCTTTGCAGATGTTTACTCTGCTTCCGTTTGTTTGCTGACTTAATTTGTTTAAAAAATTTTAGCAGCCTTCGACGACGCAGTGGAAGAGCGAGTGATCAACGAGGAGTACAAAATATGGAAAAAGAACACTCCTTTTCTTTATGATTTGGTGATGACCCATGCTCTGGAGTGGCCCAGCCTAACTGCCCAGTGGCTTCCAGATGTAACCAGGTGACATGACTCTCCTGAACGTTATTTTGATGTGTCTTCAATGTAGATTTCTCATATTGATTTTCTGTTTTCCGTTCTTCAGTCACCCGGGGAGGCCATGTGATCAAAACCTCTTGGTGACATTTTTCTTTTTTTTTTTTTTTTGCTTTTTAAAAGACGGGGTTTCACCATGTTGGCCAGGCTGGTCTTGACCTCCTGACCTCAGGTGATCCACCCACCTTGGCCTCCCAGAGTGCTAGGATTACAGGCGTGAGCCACCGCGCCCGGCCTTGGTGACGTTTTTTCTAGGCTGCAAAGTAAGGCAAAATAATGATTTTGTAATTTATCTGAAAACATGTTGGCATTTTCTCTGTTACTGAATTGAATAGCTGTAGCTGACCAAAGTAATAATACAAAACTTGTCAACTTTCAAAAAGCATTAATTACTGCCAGGAGCAGTGACTCACACTTGCAGTCGGAGCACTTTGGGAGGCCCAGACGGGAGGCTTGCTTGAGGCCAGGAATTGGGGACCAGCCTTGGGAGCATAGACCCCATCTCTTACCCACCCCTCCAAGAAAAAAAAAAAAGTATTATCATGAGTCCAGTCCTTAAAACAAAACTTTTTAATTTTCGGAGAGTTTCACCATGGTGACCAGACTGGTCTTGAACTCCTGACCTCATGATTCACCCCCCCCCCCCCAAAATGCTGGGATTACAGGTGAGAGCCACTATGCCTGCCCCCCCCTTCCCCCGCCTTCTTCAGACCAGATGGAGTTTTACTCTGTTGTCCAGGCTGGAGTGTACTGGCGGGATCTCAGCTCACTGCAACTTCCACCTCCCAGGTTCAAGTGATTTTCCTGCCTCAGCCTCCCAAGTAGCTGGGATTACAGGCACCTGCTACTACACCCAGTTAATTTCTTTTGTATTTTTAGTAGAGACAGGATTTCACCATGTTGGACAGGCTGGTCTCCAACCCCTGACCTCTGGTGATCCACCTGTCTGGGCCTCCCAAAGTGCTGGGATTACAGGCGTGAACCACCGCGCCTGGCCTCAACAAAACTTAATTTGAATTCTCATAGAATGTCATGGTACCTGCCTTCAGGGAACACAGTGTCTAGTTGGAAGTGGCAGATAAAAACTAATAATTAGAGTTATAGGTGATGACAGCAGTTGTAGAGAGAAAGATTCCTCAGCCTCCCGAGTAGCTGGGATTCCAGGAATGCACCACCACGCCCTGCTTCCCCAAGCAATTCTCATGATGAAGTGAATGTGGAACTCCTGGTCACGATAAAGAAGCTTCTGGGCCTGGCATGGTGATTTCACGCCTGTAATCCCAGCACTTTTGTAGGGGAGGTGGATCACAAGGTCAGGAGTTTGAGACCAGCCTGGCCAACATGGTGAAACCCTGTTTCTACTAAAAGCACACACAAAAAATTAACCAGGCATGGTGGTTCATGCATGTAACCCCAGCTTCTGGGGAGGCTGAGGTAGGAGAATCACTTGAACCCAGGAGATGGAGGTTCTGGTGAGCTGGGAAGAACCTTCTTATCAAAAGAAGAGGGAAACTCCGTATCAAAAAAAAAATTGCTTGGGAGATTCAGGATAATTGGAGTCATTCCTGTCATGTGTTTTCAGTGGTAATTCAAACCATTTAAGAATTTATGTGCCGGGCATAGTGGCTTATACCTGTAATCCCAGCACTTTGGGAAGCTGAGACAGATGAATCACTTCAAGCCAGTAGTTCAAAACTAGCTTGGGGAGCATGGTAAAAACCCCCTATTAACTATTATCAGGGCATGGTGGTGCACACCTGTATTCCCAGCTCCTCAGCAGGGTCTGAGGCAGGAGGATCACCTGAGCCTTGGGAGATCAAGGCTGCAGTGAGCTGTGATCCTGCTGCTGCACTCCAGCTTGGGCTACAGAGTGCCGCCCTGTCTCAAAGAAAAAGAACTTGTGACAGAGTACTAGATGAGAAATGTACTTGAATGGTGATTCCAGATTTACTATGGTCTTGTGCTAAATTGTGCTTCTTGGACTAGTGGATCACAAATATTGGCTACCCCGTACCTACTAAACACCCTTTAACTCCTATTTTTCAGAAGCTTTCCAGGTAATATAATAGAATGACTAGCTTCTAGCCTATGAAAGCAACAAAAAATAAAAATAAAAAAAATAGAAAGACTAGCTAGGTTTAGAAAGCAAGAATTAAATACTTAATTCCCCAAGGCTGAAATCTGTACTATCATCTTAGTTTTTTGCTTTAGCAAATCCAGATAATGAGAATTGTTTCTTTGAGATGGAGGCTCTTGTTCCCAGGCTGGAGTGTAGGGACATGATCTCAGCTCACTGTAACCTCTGCCTCCTGGGTTCAAGCAATTAACCTGCCCAAGTAGCTGCCCAGCTATTCAGGAGGCTGAGGCAGGAGAATTGCCTGAACCCAGGAGGCAGAGGTTGCGGTGAGCCAAGATCGCGCCATTGCACTCCAGCCTGGGTAACAAGAGCGAAACTCCGTCTCAAAAAAAAAAAAAAAAAAAAGACAGGACCTTGTTCTGTGGTCCAGACTGGGTTGCAGTGACACAATTAGAGTTCCCTGCAGCCTTGACCTCCTAGGCCAAGGGATCCCCCTGCCTTAGCCTCTGGAATAGTTGGGACTACAGGCACACACTACCATGCCTGGCTAAATTTTGAAAAAATTGTTTGCTGTGTTGCCCAGACAGTTCTTTAACTTCTGGGCTTTAATGATCCTTCCACTTTGACCTCCCCAAGTGCTGGGATTACAAGTATGAGCCACAGTGCCTGGCCCTATTTTTGTGTTTTAAGATGAGGGTTACAAATTACAAGCAAGCAGCTCTGATGCAGTGTTTACTTTGTGTGTTCTTTTTCTGGTGTTTATTCATATCCATTTCCCCCTTAAAAAAAAAAAAAAAGAAAAACTACAATTGTAGTTCTGTAGCGTTGTCCTCTCCTTCATTCTTCCTGTTCTTTTTCTAGCCTTCTATATGCAGGTAATTCCAATTTGCTGTTCATATCCCTCTTTTCATTTCTCTTTTTTTTTTTTTCATTTCTCTTTAAATTTATTTCACGGATCATAGGAAACAATCACTTCTGTTTTTTCAGTGTATGGTAGATGTTCTCAAAGCTTTGCTTGTCACATCTGTGCAGAATTCCTGTTGGTATCTTTAGACCTAACTTCTCCAGAGCTTTTCCTGATTTTTCTTCTGCTTGCTATTGTCTTCCCTGATGTATCTTACTGGCTTCCCCAATTAGACATATTGTAAATGAAATAATTCCTTCCATGAAGAGCTTACCCCAACTTTCTCTTCATATTGTTCCTATTTCTTTTTATCCTAATTGGCATTTGTTTTCCATTTTCTCTTTCTCCATTTTACAGGCAGTCAATTTATAAAGCTCAATGAATTCTGCTTGTGTAGCGTCTTTGCCATCTCTACCAGGGGTTCTCAAAATTTTATATGCATCATAATCAGTTGGCAGTATTGTGAAACATAGTTGTGCTCCGCCTTCTAGAGTTTCTGATTCAATGGGTCTGGAGTAGATGGGAGAATTAGCATTTCTAATAAGTTCCCAGATGGTGTGGATGCCCTTGGCCCAGTATGGAGTACAGAATGTCTTAAGATTGCATTCAGGACACTAAAAAGTAAGTTTTAATCGGCTTTCTCTCCCGGTGTGCTTTCCCATATCAAAAGTCAGATTGGGACTTCAGTATGCTTCTGTTACTTAGTAGCTGTGTGATCTTAGGCAAATTTTTAAATTTTCTCTTTCTCTCTTTTCTTTCTCTGTCACCCAGCCTGTAGTACAGTGGCACGATGTCCGCTCACTGCAACCTCTGCCTTCTGGGTTCAAGCCATTCTTATGCCTTGGCCTCCTGAGTAGCTGGGATTAGCCAGCTGAGGATTTTTAAAGGACAAA